GTTTTAGACAGCGTCTTTAACAATTCTTGAGTGACTGTTCCATGTTGTCTAAGTGTAAAGTGAGAAGTTGCACTTGCTTTCGCTGCATCTTAACTGCAGTATGAGCTAATGTCTTAGATCTCTGTGTCTAACGGTCCTGGATCACTCTCTGAGGTGACAATCGGGAATGGATTTTCATATAGGAGGTAAGCTGTTTGTGAGGCATGGGATAGACTGTTCATGATATGACATCCAAACAGTTTAAGTGTTAACTCACTGTCTGCTGCCCATTTTTCCATTGCGGTATTTTTAAGAAGCTCAAGTGAGTTTGTTCCGTTCTTTGCGTCGTTGACAGGCATTAGGGGTGGTACGTAGACTTAACCAGGTCTTTAAGAATAAAACCAGTAAGTGAAGTTATATTAATTTGGCTACATGTGAATCACATGATCCCGAAGCCCTCCAAATCTTGTGTACTCTGCTTACTTCAATAGAGACAACCTGGTTTTCTGGTTAGTTTCGGGTCAAGCTAAAATTGGATTAATTGAACCTTTGGGATTTAAGTCCTTACCGGTGTTATTGCACCTCTCTTTCCTATCAGAATAACGGACCTAATGTATTGTCAACTTGCCACGATATGACTTCCTAATGTATTAGAACTTACGTCAACGTCGCATAATCGTTTATACTGACTAGTACCACTGATTTCAACTTCGCCTGTAGCTCTTCTAGAGTTACTGCCGGTCCCAAGCCCGGGTAAAGGAGGAGGGTTGGGCATGAGGTTAGCGAACCCATCCCGTAGAAAAGCTAACTCGCTAAAAAAACGCTAACCAGAAAAAATAATTCAAACCATTTAAACTCTGCCCTGGCACTTGAAGGAATAATGACGTCTCATGATGAAAGCCGAATTTCTTCGGAAGTCACGAGACCGATGCACCTTCTAACAACCAGAGCAACACTCTTTATAGGTACATGGAACGTCCGGACAATGTGGGAGACAGGAAAGACCAGCCAAATAGCAATGGAAATGAGGAGATACGACTTGGCAGTACTCGGAATCAGCGAAACCCATTGGACACAATCTGGACAACAACAGGAGAGATGCTGCTGTACTCCGGTCACGAAGGGGAAAATGCTCCACACACTCAGGGAGTTGCTCTAATACTGTCCAAAGAAGCACGAAATGCACTTGTGGGATGGGAATCTCATGGACCCAGGATAATCAAAGCATCATTCAGAACAAAGAAGCAAGGGGTCACAATGAACGTTATCCAATGTTATGCACCCACCAATGATAGCAACGACGATGATAAAGATCAGTTCTATGAAAGGCTTCAATCAATTATAGAGAAGTGCTCACGAAAGGACCTGACCATCCTGATGGGAGATCTAAATGCTAAAGTTGGAGTGAACAACACAGGATATGAAGATGTAATTGGACGACATGGATTAGGAGGGAGAAATGAAAATGGGGAGAGACTTGCAAACCTATGTGCATTCAACAAATTGGTTATAGGCCGCACAATATTCCCACACAAACGTATACACAAAGCTACATGGATCTCACCGGACCACAACACAGAGAACCAGATTGATCACATCTGTATCAACAAAAAATTCCGAAGATCAATGGAAGATGTGAGAACCCGGATAGGAGCTGACATAGCTTCAGATTACCACCTGGTTGTGGCCAAGATGAAACTGAAGCTAAAGAAACACTGGACAACTGGGCAAACAGCACTACAAAGGTTTAATACAGCCTTCCTTCGAGATACTGACAAGCTCCACGAATTCAAGACAACTCTCAACATGTTTCAAGCTTTACAGGATCTACTGAAAGAACAAGAAACTACTTTGGAGGACAACTGGAAAGGGATAAAAGAAGCACTAGCTTCAACGTATCAGGAGGTTCTTGGTCCTAAGAAGCATCATCACAAGGAATGGATCTCTATGGGAACCCTGGACAAAATTCAAGAAAGGAAGAACAAGAAACTAGCAATTAACAACAGCCGAACACGAACAGAGAAAGTCAAAGCACAAGCAGACAACGCAGAAGCAAACAGGGAAGTGAAGAAAAGCATTAAAGCCGACAAGCAGAACTACATGGGAGAACTAGCAACGGCGGCGGAAAAAGCAGCAACAGAAGGCAATATGAAACAACTATATGATACAACGAAGAAATCGGATGGGAGATATAGCAAACCAGAGAGACCAGTCAAGGACAAAGTAGGAAAGACAATCACTGAGATTCAAGAACAGAGGAAAAGATGGGCAGAATACTTCGAGGAACTCCTGAATAGACCAGCCCCATCGAATCCACCGAACATCGAAGCAGCCCACACTGACCTTCCAATAGATGTCACTCCACCAACGATCGAAGAAGTCAAGATGGTCATCAGACAAATCAAAAGTGGGAAGGCGGCAGGACCTGATAATATACCAGCAGAAGCACTGAAGTCAAACATTGAAATAACTGCAAACATGCTTCACCTTCTATTCAAGAAGATTTGGGAAGAGGAACAAGTGCCAACGGACTGGAAAGATGGATATCTCATCAAGATACCAAAGAAAGGAGATCTGAGCCAATGTGAGAACTACAGAGGTATCAGTTTGTTATCAGTACCAGGAAAGGTTTTCAACAGAGTGCTGCTGAATCGGATGAAAGACGCAGTAGACGCCGAACTTAGGGATCAACAGGCTGGATTCCGTAAGAATCGGTTGTGCACAGACCAGATTGCGACACTACGGATCATCGTTTGACAGTCAGTTGAGTGAAACTCATCACTATACGTCAACTTTATTGACTATGAGAAGGTGTTTGACAGCGTGGACAGGAGGACATTATGGAAATCTCTTCGACACTATGGAGTTCCTAAAAAGATTGTCAACATTATCCAAAACTCATACGATGGACTACAGTGCAAAGTGGTGCATTGAGGACAGCTGACAGATGCATTTCCAGTAATGACCGGAGTCAGACAAGGCTGTCTACTCTCCCCATTTCTCTTCCTTCTGGTGATTGACTGAATTATGAAGAATTCGACATCTGAGGGGAAATACGGAATACAATGGACAGCTCAGAATCAATTAGATGATTTGGACTTCGCAGATGACCTAGCCCTCCTCTCTCATACACACGAACAAATGCAGATGAAGACAGCAAATGTAGCAGCAGCCTCCGCATCGATAGGCCTCCACATTCACAAAGGAAAAAGCAAGATTCTCAAATGCAACACGGAGAACACCAACCCAATCACACTTGATGGCGAAACTCTGGAAGAGGTGGAAACATTCAAGTACCTAGGGAGCATGGTTGATAATCAAGGAGGATCTGATGCAGATGTAAAGGCGAGGATTGGCAAAGCAAGGGCAGCATTTCTACAATTGAAGAACATATGGAACTCAAAACAACTCTCAACCAATTTCAAGGTCAGAATCTTTAACACGAACGTCAAGACAGTCAGTTATACTGTATGGAGCTGAAACGTGGAGAACTACTACGGCCATCATCAGGAAGGTACAAGTATTTATAAACAATTGTCTACGCAAAATACTCAACATCCATTTGCCGGATACTATCAGCAACAGCGTTTTATGGGAGAGGACAAACCAGATTCCAGCTGAAGAGGGAATTAGGAAAAGACGTTGGAAGTGGATCGGGCATACATTAAGGAAATCACCAATGTGCATCGCGACTCAATCCCTAACTTGGAATCCGGAAGGGAAGCAGAAAAGAGGAAGGCCAAAGAACACATTACGTCGGGAAATAGAGGCGGATATGAAAAGGATGAATAGCAACTGGAAAGAACTGGAAAGGAAGGCTCAGGACAGAGTTGGATGAAGAATGCTGGTGAGCGGCCTATGCTCCTCGACGAGGGGCAACAGGCGTAAGTAAGTAAGTAAGTACCACTAATTTCGGGATAAAATGACACTGCATTAGGTGTAAACGATCTTAGCAACTACATCACTGAGGGCTTTGCGTATTAACTAGAGGATTCTAAAACCTTTGGCATCTATATCACAGGTGCGTTCAGCGGTTTGGAAATCTTGGTGGAGTTAGCCATGAGATGATGAGGTTTGCGACTTTCGGATCTGACCTTGAAACATGCTTATCCAGTTGGCTAGCTTACACTAACTGGTCTGTCCGCTGGAGAAACACAATATTTAGCAGCTGATTTATGTACGCACCATTTATTGTGACGGAAGAGAAGAGTTATATTCAACTAAATACGTTTTAGATCCAAAGTACGTTGCAGTATGATAACTGTTCTTTAATAGAAGTAAACACTTAACCTCTGCAACATCAGAGGACTGGTGTATGAGCAGAAAGTTTGACAATGACTATTCATGTTTTTGGCCAAAACATATCGGTTTAGTGACATATTGTACAAAAGCATACAAGGCTAGTCAGTAACAGTCTACCTACTCGGAGTTTGTGAGTCTCGTCCAGCCGAAACCCACTGAGTTATAATTGTTAACGATAAGACACTCACTAGACTTGCCTGATATACGAGACAAAGTGATCGACCAGGCAGCTGAGTTTACGGTATAGCAATTTGATGATGACTCGACTATCTTTAGACTTAAATGTATAGCTGAATGAGTAGCATTTACCACCTTTCGTCTCTTAAATACTACTGTGGATGCGTATGTGATCATGAAGTTACAAAAAAGTGCAACACATACTTAAGACTGGTCACCTTATCACTTTGGACACGTGTTTGAAACAATGTACATCTTTCATGCATCATGTCCATGTCAGTGTAATCATGTCAGAAAATCCCTATTCCACTTCATTTTTGAATTTTTAAGTGTTAAGTGTCCTCAAGAGCATTGACCTCCAAAAAATCCTCTGTAAAAAAACCAGGAATTCGAGGTCTTTTTTCACACTTTTCAGTCGAGGTTTTAGCTCACTGGGATTCTCTCTTTTATTTTATGATACTCAGTTGGATAGTCCGTTAGGGTGCAAACATTGCAATCAAAAATCATGTATCACTAATTTCAAAGTGTTTCAAAGAAATCACGGGTACAAAAGTGAAGAAGAATAATACAGGACCATAACAACTAAAAAGGGTATCAGATATTGAATACAGTTTTCCGCCAGATTTAGTTTTTGCGCAACATGGGACTTGTTCGTCCTATTCGTATGATTTTTTGTTTTGTTTGTTTCTTGTTTCTCCTGAACTCTCATAATGCACAGAAAGAGCCCAGTTGCAATCGTGCAAAAAGTTGTAGTGAATGCATGGGGATACGCCCTGCCTGTTCGTGGTGTAGTGCTGATGAATTTGATGATACGAAAGAAGGTCCAGGGTTTCGTTGTGCACCATCTTCAGTCTTGTTGGCCCGTGGATGTCCACAAAGTAGCATCGAGGATGTGGAGTCTGTGTTATTAGGTGAGCTCTCCCTATTTACTAAGGCTTTGCTTCATATGTCGCTTCTTTCACTGTCATTGTTTATAAGCGAGCTTTGGTATTTACTGTCATTTTTTGTATTTTCTTATGAAGTAGAGTATTTCTTGTACATCGTAAGCAACTGACAACAGGACATAACTTACACTTATGTCCTATCCGAATCGTAGCGATGAGAGGTAGAATAGCTTTCTAGATCAGTTCCATTCTCACGACACGGATGTGTCGACAGATAGTGCTTAAGCAACATTTCGAGTCAAAGGGCTCAAGGTAATGGCTAGTAAAATAAAAAAGCGCACAGCTGGTTAGTCACAGGATTAGGAGTGTTGTCATATATTTTTTGGTTTTAAGGACATGAAAAACGAGGTTATATCAGATTCAAAAGTGGTTTAAGGAATGTGATTACTTCGCTTTTAGTCCTTAATGATGAAGCGAATAGTTTTCATTTACCTAGTCTCGTTATATGGAGGCTTTGGGGTTTCAGGAACCAAGGTAGTTGAGCTTTACTGAATCCTATCCAATAATGGTCTTTTTTCAGACAGGCGCTAGCTGTCTGTCTGGGACAGCCCCCAAATGCCTTGGTACGGCCGAGAGTGGGGAGAGTCCGCTCTCACTCTCGAAATGCTCTCACATGGCTACACATATATAGCCTCTGCCAGGGAAGTCCCGCTCACTGCCTTCTCGTGGCGGGGGTGTTGTTTACGAAATCGAGAGCAGGACAAGCGAATGCCCGGCGCTTTAACCGGTCTGGGGGATGTAGAGTGTCCACCTAGTGGAGTTGGAAAACCCTGATTCCAAACCAATGATGCACATGGGCTCCAATATCCTGATGGAACAAATGGCGTACGAATCAATCGTTGATCACCAGCTACCATGGGAAGGTATCTCCTCACGATGCTCCACTGGCTTGTGGATCAGATCTTTAGGTCGAAGGCTTCGTTTGTGGGCCCCTAAGAAAACCACCTGCTCCAGTTTTAGCACCTGGACAGTATCACAGCCCTCAAGCAAATCGAATGAGATTTGTATGGTGCATATGTATCTGGTGCTTCCTTCTACCAATATTTATGTGTTTAAATAAATAAATAAATAAAGTCTCTGTGACATATTCAGGTTTCGGTCTAACAACTTAATGCTAACCTATTCATTCACAAAATTAGTTTCTTTTGGACTCCAACACAACTTACATGGCAGTCTGATATGTGAGTCTTTGTCAAAAGTCTTACTGAAGTCAGTTGCGGTTACATCCACAGACAGATTTTTTTTCCAGCGGCCACACTAGCTGTCGTGTCGATAGTAGGTTTGTGGGATGTAAGTAACCTGACCTGTAATCATGTTGCTTTCCAGAAAGTATCAAGTTTTCATCCCGATATTTGAATAACTCCTTACTAACAATCTCATATTTCGGTAAATATACTAGTCAAACTCAACGATAACTTTTTCGGTTGTGCCGCACGCCGGTTTTGAAGACGGGACTTATTATAGTGTTTATTTGTCTTTTAAACCTTCACTCAAGTGACATTCCTAACTTTGTGTTTCTCATATTTAGGTCTTCACCAGGTTTGATAACATTTTCCGTACTTTAAACATAGGGAACTTGAACCGATGAGCATTCATGACCGGTCCCACATTTACTGTGATTTCGGATTAGGTGCTACGCGTTGATTCGTAACTGAAATGGAACCCATCACCATAAGAATTCTCATTTCATTTGTGGTCCGTGTCATTAGTGGTTTGAAGTTAGTTGCTACGCAAACAAATGTTGGACACTTCTACTAAAGGTGTGCCTGGCATCTGGTTACCAGGCGTTTGCATTCAAGATTTCGCTTGAAACTACCATGCAAACGAACCTTTGGATGAAAATCATCCAAGTTACGTGCATTTTTTTTTTAATAATCTAAGAAGTCTCACCATTCTGTTTTTAGTATTTTAGGAGAATTGGGTTCATTAATCTTTTTTGTTGTTTTGATTTCAAATTTATGCATGATAAATATTTACAGATCATGGAGTTCCTCTTGATCAAGCCAGTTTAACTGAAGATATACAACTTACTCCACGATCACAATCAGTAAAGGTCAGACCCGGAGGAACTATGATGGTCGATTTCACATTCCAGTCTATTTCGGATTACCCCGTTGACCTTTATTTCTTAACAGATCTCAGTTATACAATGATTGATGATTTGGAAACAGTTTCTCGTTTGACTAACGATATTGTGTTAACTATGCGTAATGTAACAAAAAAGTTACAAATGGGATTCGGCGCCTTTGTAGACAAACCAGTGTTTCCCTTTGTTGTGCCAACTCCAGAATATCTTCGAAATCCATGTTTAAATGTTGGTACTAAAAATCTCCATTGCGATCCTCCATTCTTGTACAAACACATTTTGTCACTTACCGATAATTTTGAGGAGTTCAGAGAAAAAACCAAAGTAGCACGTGTAAGTCTTAGTATATTTGTAGCTTTGTTCATAGCCTGCCTGCACTGCGCTGAGTTTTGTATAGCCTGTTTTTCTGGAAGTTTCTCAAGATGTGTTGCAAAAAGAATCAAAGGTATTTCTGAATTGAGCGACAAGTTTCCATCTACACTCATTACTTTAGAATGATGATTTCGTGTATTGCATAGACCCATTGGGGTTATACTAGTCTAAACATTTGCTGATTGGATTCTTGCTATAGCACAATAGCTCATTGAAAATCAGTGCAGCTGCCAGAACTTATTGTATGAGTAATAGTAACCATAACCTTAACAGCGATGTTAAGCAAGTGTTTTTACTGTTGGATGCGCCCTTATGAAAATAATGGTCTTTCTTAGGTGAATCAAAATTGTAGTGATTTTACTTTCCAACTTTAGTAAGAACGAGATAATACTAATTTATTCAGATAAACGTATATCCAGTCTTCCGTCTCCGCCTGTTGTAGATCCACTTAAAAAGTAAATGAGAGTTAGAAAACCCTACTATTTCGAAAAATGAATTCGACAGATCCTAACAAGTATATTTTGCACTTTGTGGCTACTCACCTGAATTGGAAAAACAAGCAAATGTATTATGGTTTTTTCTGGTACTTTAAGAAGGATTAACCAAGTCACATAACAGTGCATCGGTTTGAGTTATCACACTCCACTTGAAATATGTGATTCGTTCAGGAAAGTGGGGATGTTAATTAATTGTTGTTAGTCTTCTTCCTTTTCTCCTGCGTTTATTTTTCCTTAGTCTCACGGATCTAACACTTCATACTCTTTTAAACTCATAGAGTTACTATAAGTAATACGTAATACAGCCAGAACTAGACTTACAGTTTCTAATTTTGAGTAATCATTTTGCTTAGTTAAATTTTAGGTGCGTTTTTTTGTGAACTTAGCGAACAACAGACCATATTACTCCACAAGAAAATTTGCTTTCTCACGAGTAGTAATGGTAATGAGTTGTGTGTTGTTTTGTCGAGGATTATTACACTACGATGTCATTCATTCAATTAAATTAAAATAATGTAGTGTTTCTTGACTTTTTGTTTGTTAGCCTTCAGGTAATCTAGATAGTCCAGAGGGTGGTATGGACGCATTACTTCAGGTTGCCCGATGCAGTGAAGCTATTGGATGGCGTGCTGGTGCCCGTAAAATCGTACTATTTGCTTCTGACGGTGGATTCCATTTGGCTGGTGATGGTCGAATCGCTGGATTAATACTGCCTCCTCCAACTACTTGTCAATTAACATATCAAGCTGATCGATTCAATTCTTCACTTAAGTACCTCGGTTGGCATAATTCTGATCAAACTGATTATCCTAGCGTTGGGGAGGTGAGAAGACTTTATTATGAGTAACTGGTTCCTTTAAGTGAACTGATAAATTCTTTCACTTTCATCCCGAGGTGCTATTTTAATGTGTTAAGGCAATTGATTAAATTCCTACACTTGCTCTTAATGTTTACGTATATTTCTGTGTTCTTTTTGATGAACTCCCTTCATAAAAGATGGATTTTGTAGGTTGGTTGATGTGACGGTACTAGCATGTATATTTAGTAGACAGGGGTTTTGTAGCAGTTTGTTCTTAAAAATTATACCAAAAAAGTATATAAATCTTGCAAAGGCTCTTTACTTGAATACTTATTCGAATAATGGATGATGAAGAACTGTCATCTGAACTGGTATTTCCAAGTGGTTTTTAACAGGGCAACCTTTTCTGCGTACTTTTACTCAATTTCTTCATAAAAATGAAGATTCCTCCGTTGAACTTTTCAGAGGTTAATCTTCTGTTGAAAGATTCACTTAAAGACTTAGAAGACCTAGCTAACGTAGTTATGTTTGTTGAGGATGCTGAAATCATGCAGTCCTCTAATCGTCTTGAGCAACAATGGAAGAACTCTTGAGATAGGTTTCTTCTCTAAATGCGAAATTTTGTCCCACAACTTTTCTACATCAATGCTTAGACTAATCATAAGAAACACACCAACCACTTCACTTATCTCACTCCTCTTGGGTCGGTATCTGAGGAAATCTCAACACGGATTCATAAAATTCGCTCAGCTTTTTCCAACTTCCACTACCTGTGTCATAGGTGAGATTTTCACCTGCCAAACGAAGGACTAGTATACTACTTAGCAGTTCACTTTGTTTTGTTTTATGACTTTAAAGCGTAGCTTCTAAAAGTAGAGGGCACTAATGAGTTATTAGTATATGAATCATTCGAAGCATTTTTTCCGTATATCGAGATTACCGAACGAGGAGTGTTAAGGTTACAAATATGTTATTAGGCAACTATGGCAGTCCGGTCGATAAGATTGTAAATCCCCATAGACAGGTGGTTAGGGCATGTATTACATGTATCAAACCGCCACCAACCTCGAAGCGGGATATCCGCTGAGAGAGTGGGTTGAAAAAAAGCTGGGGAAGAGACCAAACCAAAACTTTAGCAGTCCATAAAGTCAATGAGTTCTAAAATAGATCTTTCCGGTAGTCATGTAATATAAAAAGTAGAATATCCGATAGTATTATCGCTGGTGTGTATGTCCTATTTCTCATATTTATGGAAATTATTCACTTGTCTTGGTTACTTTGTGCTCAGTCCAGTTTCAAAATTTTTGTTGTTTTCCACAAATGAGTTTATCTTTTTGTTTGTGTAGATTGCTCAAGTTCTAACTGAAGCTGACATCAGCGTAATTTTTGCAGTTGATAGTAAATTACACGGTTTGTATACTAAGTTGGCTGAATTCTTGCCAAGTGCAGCTGTTGGCATCCTAACTGATAGTTCAACCAACATTGTTCGCTTATTACGTGATAACTATGATAAAATTGTTAACAAAGCTGAGCTAATGGCTACTTATGATGCAGATTATCTGGAAGTAAGTTGTTTTTCGTTATTAAATATTCTTATTTTATGTGTTCTTGACTTTAATATTTGATTTCATTTAATGTGTTACTTCTCGATAATCTTGATTGTTTAAGGATAATTTTTATCCGTAACTAGTTGTTAGCTGATTGATTAGTGATCATCAATAACTGTAAATAAGAAACCATGTTGGAGTCTGTGAATTGGATTTACTATTTCAAAGTTGATGACGTTACGCGAATGGACATATATATAAGTAAAGCTGCTATAACTTGCTGCGCCATTCGAAAACATCAGGAAAATGATGGACGCAAGGGTAATCAAAATTAGACAACGCACTCAACTACTTTTAAAAATTATGCCTCCAATGCTCTTTATCCAGGCCTCAACTATTAAGAAAACAAAGGGAGACAAGTCTGTCCTACGATCACTAAAAACATGTATTTTATGGAAAAATATCACTTTTATGTACAGTTTTTCTTTTCGCTGGTTACTGATTACATTTAGATGATTATACCGTAAAACGAATTTTAGGCTGAACAAATGTTAAAGCTGAGTAACTACAGAACGAAAATTATCAGAATACAACATATTGAAATAATTAATAAGTGAATTTGTCAAATTCAGTAGAATTTGACTGGACGATTATCTTATTGTTCTAATTAATAGTCTCGTTCCTAATCGCTCCCTACCAAAAGCTTTGTTTTGATATACAACACACATTGATTAAGACTAAAAAGGTCACAGCTCTGACAACTTACCAGTGCACATTTACTTTATAAAAATTCAATGTTCTGGATTTTGAAGTTCCCTGACGAATATGTATATCATGACACCATATTTAATCCTTTTGGGTTGTAGAAAGTTTTAACCACTGAAAGAAAAAGAGGTAACGAAACAAATAAAAATGAGAAGTAGAACAAAAGTGAGGTATTCGATTTTCCCGATCATTGCTGCTACCTTGACGTGGTGGTCGGGCTTGCCTATCGTGATGAAGCAATCGAGCTATGCTGGCTGGAACAATCGTTCCTCAAGGTCCTACCATGCCAGACAGGTCGGTTGAAGAGCGGTGAGACTAAAAGCAGCAAACCCAAGGTCCGAAGGCGAAGTCGTACTGCTGACTGTACAAAGGTGTGACAGCATTAAGGTGTTTCCTTCAGACAACCAGCATGACAGCGATGCTGCCTTCCCACAAGGAGGGGTGGGGTTAAAAACGGTCGGCGACCCAAAAAATGCACATCTCGCCTTATCCCATGGGTATCCGTCTCCGACGGTAAGGTCCCAACAAGTACGGAGCTAACACAAAAATTACCCACAAAAAGGTCGTGTGTGACCGACCTCAAGCAGTTGTCCCTTGGGCACTGCGGTCACGCTCTCAGGTCATTAAGACCACTTCTAACCCAATTTCCTTTTCAGGTACCTCTAGAAGAATCCTTCCACGGTGTGGGCAACCGGGATGTGATAACTGCCCTCATACCTCTAACAACACTCAAGACCACTGTATTCATAATCAATCTTCTTCACTTCCTACTATTCCTTCTACCTTGACTTTCAACACTAAACTTCCTCTCTCGGTTTCCTCCTCAAGTGTCACCATGGCCAACGATTCTAGTGCGCGAAACGCTGTCCCAGGTCTACTAAAACCTCGCTCCAAACTACACATTGGAGCCTTCAACGTACGTACCCTATGCCAAATCGGTCAACAGGCCTCCTTAGCTAAAACTCTAGAATCTCCTACCATTGATGTATGCTGTGTCTCCGAAACACGCATACAGGATCCCAGTGTGGTCATTCACTTGACCTCACCTCGCCAAAATGGACAGCCAACGAAATACACCCTCCGTGTATCTGGCGACCCGTTGGCTAGTTCTCGCGGACTTGCAGGTGTAGGCATAGCACTAAGTACAAGGGCAGAACAGGCACTACTAGAATGGATCCCCGTTAACAGTCGCCTGTGTGCTGTCCGGCTAAATGGCTCCGTAAGAACTCGGAAGGATAGGGACACACGTCGTTGCCTTTTCGTCGTTTCTGTCTACACTCCTACTGACTGCAGCCATGATGAAGTAAAAGATGACTTTTACAGAAAACTCTCTGAGCTTCTTCAGAAAGCTAAGCGCTCAGACATAGTAGTCGTAGCGGGTGACTTTAATGCCCAGGTAGGCATCTTAAATCAAACAGAAAGACATTTAGGTGGGTGTTTTAGTATTCCGGCTCAACGAACCGATAATGGTGATCGTCTGTTGCAACTATGCTCAGACAATCGTTTATTTTTAGCAAGCACTAATTTTAAACATAAGGAGAGATATCGTCTAACATGGCGACCACCTGCACCAAACCAACGATGGACTCAAATAGACCATATTGTCATCAGTCATCGTTGGAGAGGCTCAATAGAAGATTGTCGCTCGTATTGGAATACTTGTTTAGACTCTGATCACGCTTTAATACGAGCGCGCATTTGTCTGCGCCTCAATGAACGCAGGAAAAGTACACTAAGAAGACCCATTAGGATTGAACTGGAGGACGAGAAAGCCAAGTGCGAATTCCAGAAACTACTGAGTTCACATCTAGGCAGTTCTGTAAACGAGATTGACCCAGATGCTGCTTGGAAAGACATACGAACAGCTGTGGAAACAGCAGTAACATCTATTGGTCATTTAAACCATAGGGCTCCAAAAAACCAGTGGATTTCCTCTAAGTCTATTTCACTGATGGATTCGCGTAAACTCATCCCATCAGGCTCTGAACATGACGAAGAGCGTAAAGAAATTAGATCTAGGTTAACTAAAAGTCTAAGGAACTATCGTGAGCAGTGGTGGGCAACGAAAGCAAAAGAGATGGAAAAGGCAGCGGCTGTAGGCAACACCAGGCAACTATTCAGACTAATAAAAGAAACCGGAATTAAGAAGTCAAGTGTAAGTGAGACAATCTCCGAAAAAGACGGAACCCTTATCTGCTCTCAACCTAAACGTTTAGAACGATGGGCGGAACACTTTAAGGAGCAGTTTAGCTGGCCTTCAGCTACTGCACAACTACCCACTATTCCTAGAAAACCTGAATGGAACATTGAAGTAGGCCCCCCGACCCTACTTGAAGTTCAAAAGGCTATAGGTAATCTGAAACGAGGAAGAGCAGCTGGTCCAGATGGATTGGCCCCAGAGGTCTTTAAATATGGTAGTCCAATTTTAGCGACTAGGTTGACTAATATTCTAGCTAAAATCTGGGAGACGGATGTAATCCCATCCGACTGGTCACAATCATTAATTTTCCCAATATATAAAAAGGGGTCAAAATCATCCTGCGATAACCATAGAGGGATTAGTCTGACTAACATAGCATCTAAAATACTAGCCTCAATAATTATCGGGCGCCTAACTAAGACTCGTGAACTGCAAACACGAGAAAATCAGGCTGGCTTTCGACCTAGTCGTGGCTGTATCGACCACATATTCGCTACTCGTCAGGTTTTAAAGCACAGACATGTTTATCGGCGTCCAGCAATGATAGCTTTTCCTGACTTGAAAGCAGCATTTGACTCTGTAGACCGAGAGGTTCTGTGGCAGTGTCTGTCATTGGAAGGTGTACCTGAGAAGTACATAAACCTTGTAAAGGCTCTTTACTCGAACACTATTAGTCGAGTGAGAGCTTATGGCGAACTGTCATATGATTTTACAACTTCAAGTGGTGTCCGTCAAGGCTGTCCACTATCCCCGTTTTTGTTTAACTTCATTATAGACCTGTTGCTGGAAATAACACTCTCTTCGACTGAATTTTCAGGAATTGATCTCCTACCAGGAGGTCCACTTATCGACTTAGAATACGCAGATGACATAGTCCTGTTTGGTGAAGACGCTGGCAAAATGCAGTCTTCTGTTAGAACTGAGTAATAATGCCAGGATGTTTGGGATGCATTTCTCCCTCTCTAAATGTAAAATGTTACTCCAGGACTGGCCTACGTCAACACCTGAACTAAGGATAGGTAGTAAAGTAGTCGAACGCGTCGACAACTTCACTTATCTTGGAAGTCTGATCAGCCCTAATGGGTTGGTGTCTGACGAAATCCCAGCACGGATTCTAAAAGCTCGTTTGGCTTTTGCCAACTTACGTCACCTATGGCGAAGACGAGATATCCGTCTATCAATTAAGGGACGAGTATACTGCGCATCAGTTCGCTCTGTTCTACTTTACGGCTGTGAAACATGATCATTAAGAGTAGAAGATACTCGTAAATTACTAGTATTTGACCACAGATGCCTTAGAAATGTTGCTCGCATCTGCTGGGATAACCGGGTAAGTAATAGTGAGGTTAGATATATGGTATTAAGGAATGATGGCAAATCAGTTGGTGAGGTTGTGAATCTTCATCGACTGAGATGGTTGGGCCATGTGTTACATATGCCTGAACACCGATTACCACGACGCGCTATGATGACTAGTATTGGGGACGGTTGGAAGAGAGTTAGGGGCGGCCAAACCAAAACATGGCATCAGTGTTTGAAGTCACTAACTTCTAGCCTGAGCCATGTTGGCAGATGCAGACTACCTGGTTGGGGTCCGTGTGACTATCGTAACCAATGGTTGGAGACTCTAGGTGACATGGCTCAGAATCGATCACAATGGCGTAGGTGTATACACTCTTTATCTTCCCTTAAACCTTGAGACTAAAATTGCTTCATATCTCTCTTCCTTCCTGTACTATATCCTTATATACAACCTATAATTTATATACTACTACCAACACTAAATTAACTACTATGAATCCGGTGTTCATCTTGTTGTGCTAACGAGGTATGGCAACTTGGACCGATGCATAAATGTGCCTGGTCCTACGTTGTAGCTGACTGACTGACTGACTGACTATTCGATTTGTACAGCAAAATATAGTGACGTTCACTAAGACCGTCTTTTTAGAGCTAACTTATAAATTCAGTATATCCAGTCGCTAATGCAAAAAATATTTTATGATTAGTAAATGAGGTTAAGTATATTAAGAAGATCGAAATAGTGTAGTTTTCATTGTGTTGTTGTTAGATTTAATCTCGTATAATTGGCAGATGTTGGATGACACATAGTTGATATTTACCAACCTACTTCATGTACTAGTTACAATTCATTAGCCTGATATATGTGTAGACCTGAGGTAACTCCATGCTTTTGAAGGTCAAACTTTTACCAGTTACTGTCTCTTTTAATAATACTGATATACTCAATATGTAGATCATTACTTATAAATTTAGTTTCGTACCGAAACTCAATGTGTGATATTATAATCCACACTTTTTCTGAAATATGTTTTTAATTATTTCTATTATCCAAAAGATTATTATGCACACGAAAAACCATTTATCTAGATTATTTCTATTCGGCTTCTTTTTGATTATTCATTTTTCAGGTTCAAGTATTTTCCAAGTGTAATGATGAAAATGAATTCTCAAAGAAAACAGTATGTAATGATCATCCAGTTGGTGGTAAAATTAGTTATCAAATATCCATCAAAGCTAAACGATGTTTTGAAGGTGTTAAAAAAGTCACTTTAAAAATGGTAGCATTAGAAGATCAAGTAAGTATACGAGTAAATTACGTTTACTCTGGTGTGTTGTATTACATTCTCTTTTTTCAACTGTACAGTAAACATATTTGTAAGGATTTAAATCTTCCAGTTGTTGATATGATTAATGTATTACATCTGATGATTTTGTCTTGCCATTACGTCACGAAATTTTAATTAAGGATGAATATTGGCTAGCGGCGGGACCCAGGACTAGCGTTTTGTTTTATTTGGTTATCGTCAGCTGGTTGTACCTGTATCCCCATGTTAATGTTCACTTTAGGACTTGAATCCAGTACCTTTTATTTTAGACGCCTAACAAATTATCAATTAAGATAACTACTGGATCCAGACAGCCACTAACTTGTACAATGAAGGTAAATTTTTATTTTATTTAAATAGATTTAGATCTTCGCATTGCTGATATTGGGGACTGCATATGGTCAGTCTATTTTGGCATATGTGAATCTTGGGATGCAGTTACATCCGGCTGACGTTTTCGAAATAAGATGAAACACTTGCCCTACACTTCACTACTAACCACTTTCCAACTTTAATTCTGAACATTAAACTCGGTTATCTGTAGATTTATCCCATTTAAACAATCTATTTGTAACTAGCCACTATTTTAACTTATTTAAAGTTATGATGTGATTAAAAATTCCTGTTACTGTGGTAACCTATATTTAATGACGTCGTAAAACTAAACTATACTAACGACCTTGAGTAGATAATCAGGAAACTGTTCATTCCTACATGCCCTGGTTCGACCGAGGGTGGGGACAGTCCGCTCTCCCTCTCGAAATGCTCTCACATAGCCACGCGTATGCAACTACTGACATGGAAGTCCTACTCACTGCCTTCTCACAAGATTACTGTTGTATGCGAAATTGAGAGGACGTAAAGCGAATGTCCGGCGCTTTAACTAGATTGGTGGACATAGAGGGTCCACCTAGGGGAGTTGGAAAACCCTGATTCCAAACCAATGGTGCACATGGGCTCCAATATCCTGATGGAACAAATGGCGTATGAACCAATTGTTGGTCACCGACTACTATGGGACTGTATTTCCTTACGTTGCTTCAATGTACTGTGGATTAGACCTTTAGGTCAAAGGCTGCGGTTGCGGTTTTCTAGGAAAACCACCTGTTTCGGTTTGGGCACCCGTGCCGTATCACATCCCTCACACAAATCAATAATAACTACTACTGGTCTCATTGTTATCGCGTGGCGCATATGTATTTGGTGCTCCTTTGTACCAATGTTTGTATTGTTCAAATAAATAAATCAGCTGCGAAACAGTTGACAATAAAAGGTGGTAATTTTACAATGGATTAGTAGTTTCGAGATGATTAATGAACCGTTTTATGTTAAATTGTTTATTTTAATGAACGAAAAAGGGTTGCGGTTGGGTATTAGGAGTTGGGCTAGTATTATGAATTGGGGTTAAATATCACGGTTAGGAGGGTTAGTGTCAGTAATGTTGGTGTTAGAATGAAATCACATCAAATTCTCTCAATTTCAGTTTACATCAGAGGCAGGCATTTCTAACAGTTCGGCCTGCACACCATATTACATTCACTGAATGGTTGCCCAAAATATATTTTGTATCAATTTTAACCATTTTAGATGCCAGATATGGCGTATTTACTTATTTTTGAATAAGATATTTGCTATCTTTCACTGATTTATACATTTCGTGCAAAAATCTTGATCAGTACATCAAAGATCATCAGTATAGTTTAGTTTTTACCAGTGTAAACTTTTTTAACGTAATCAATTTTTTAGCACTATTTCTACGTGGATTTGAATAATACACTATCTAATTGTTCTTACTTCTGTAGGCTGTACTAGGTGTTCAGACAGCTTGTTCTTGTCCTAGCTGCGAGAAAATGCCAATGCCTAGTTCTTTAACTCCTTTCTCTGCAAGATGTCAATCACGTGGACACTTACATTGTGGTGAATGTAAATGTCAGTCTGGATACTCTGGTGATTTTTGTGAATGTTCCGCTGAGGCTAGTGCTGAAGGGGATGCTGCTATGCTAGCGCAATGCACTGAATATGGAGTTAAAGAGGTATGTTGGACCATTAATGTTTATCCTTATGTTGTTTACATCCGACAGCCTTTCATTAATAATACATCCAGGAGCCTCCTTGATGTGGTCTTTCTTTAAATTCTTTTTGATTAAACTCTGTTCACTCACCAAATGTCAGAATGATGATTTGATATATATATATATATATATATATATATATATCCTGTACCTGTCCTTATGTGCTGTTTCGAGGTCAAGCCCATGATAGAACAGACAAAGCCGATAATTGTCTGTGTCAAGGTCTTAGATTATATATATCTGAGGGAGCGACGTACATGTATACCACTGATTTGTACACATTTTTATTTGGCTTGCCTATTGCAGCTTCCTACTCACTCCTAGCCTTCTCACTCGTGCAGGGTTTCGAGCAAGTATTTAGGAAGCGTATATGCCTGTATTTGAATAGGATGACCGCAGAACCTGACAGATCATGTGTATATTGTACTTGATTAGTGAATTTCACACTTATCGATAATGGGACTCCTACTGTGGATATTTGAAGATCAGTTTCATCTCAGTTATTGATTCACCGTTCTACTTAGATCTATAACAAGACTAATCAGGTTCCGACTTCATGTTGATCAATGATTTCTTATATTACATTTATGTATCAGCTTCATTAACTTAATCTTGAAGGTAGCTCAATAATTTCTAACTAAGTAGTTGGATAATGTCTTCCATACTGTAATAGTGGCTCAACACCCGGTACATAAGTCACTAGTCATATAGTAGATTCCTTCGACAGTAAAATTAGAGTTATTCATTTGTTCGACTTCTTTATAATATCGAAGTTCATCAAATTAATTTTCTAAACATAATCTAACATCTGACTAATCGTTTTCTCTTTTTAATTCTACTCTATTCGAATTAAATTAGAAAAGACTGACTAGTGAGATACTGTGATAAAATATGAACAAAAGCATGTTTCTCAGTTGCATAACTGTATGATATAATACTCCAGTTTCGAATTGAAATCTGGTTATAAACATAATCTCGCAAGTCAATAGTTGGGATGGATAGAAACTCGATTAACCATTGATTTAAATCTGAACGTAACTGAAATTTCTAGGTGATTTTTAGTTTAGACCCATAAAATTATCATTTAAAAAGTTCATTCTCTTGGAAATATCTTTTTATAGCCTTGTTCAGGTCGTGGTCGTTGTGTATGTGGAAAGTGTAAATGTAATCTAGCACGTTATGAAGGCACTTTTTGTGAATGTGACCGACATGGATGTAAACGTGCTTCAGATGATAATCAAGTTTGTGGAGGACCACAACGTGGAACTTGTCAATGTAATGGTACCTGTGAATGCAAGCCAGGTTATACTGGAGATCGCTGTGATTGTATGGAAAGCGAGAAACAATGTATTGATCCAAACAATCCATCGGTATGTCATAATTTACCTTCTCTTTTAAAAAACACATGTTGGCATTACGGATTGCTTGAATGAACAAATTATTCTTTGAGTTGCTTGATTGTATTCTTCACAGTGATATTTTAGTATGGTATGATTAATTATCAATATCGTGCAGTAAACTATTACTACACACCATTTTGCAATGAAATCTAAGATTTGATGCTAAAACTTTACACCATTTTATTCTTCTGCTTCGGTTTGGACACCCGGGCAGTATTCCAGCTTTCACACAAATCGAATAACGTAGTGTGGCGCATATATATTTGGTGCCTTCTTGTATCAATGTTTACATGTTGAAGCAAATATAAATAAATAATAAATCTCAACTAATCACGTAGAAACAATAAGCATTAAATTCATTTCAAATGCATGAGTCGTTTCAGTGATTTAAACTTTGTCATATTGCCGGTAGAATGTTGTTAAAACTGTCAGATTTAGAAAATATGTCTATAGGTTTAAAGTTGCATGTCCTTTCTACAGACTTGAGAATTTATATGGCAAATGATGCTTACTCCACTCATTTGTTAATTTTCTTTGGTAGTCTATTTAAGTTTCTACAACTAACTTAATGACTCTAAGGCCATCAGTTAAAGGCACATATTATTCCAGTTAGAATGGTATATGTGGTAGACTCTAAATACTTCAGTTATACTATGCCAAGTTTTCACATTAGTCATTTGTTTATAAATAAGATGTTTATTGAGGGGAAACACAAGTGAGTCCTTTGCTCATTGATGTAATTAGTGTATTTAAATTCTTCCCTTTCAAGTTCCCTTTGTTAATTTATTCTATTTGCTAATTGTTCTAAATCATTTCATTTTGAAATAAGAATAACTTAAATCGATTTTGTCCTGGAGTCACACTTAGATTTTATCCATGTAATGGTTTGTAAAATTTTCAACTTAATTAAGCTAGCAATTTGTTACATGTCCTGGTACGGCCGAGAGTGGGGAGAGTCCGCTCTCACTCTCGAAATGCTCTCATATGGCCACGCGTATATGGCCTCTGGCAAGGAAGTCCTACTCACTACCTTTTCGTGGCAGGGGTGTTGTTTACGAAATTGAGAGCAGGACAAGCGAATGCCCGGCGCTTTAACCGGTCTGGGGGAAGTGGAGTGTCCACCTAGGGGAGTTGGAAAACCCTGATTCCAAACCAATGGTGCACATGGGCTGACTCCAGTATCCTGAGGGAACAAATGGCATATGAATGAATCGTTGGTTACCGGCTACCATGGAACTGCATCTCCTTATGATGCTCCACTGCCTTGTGGATCAGACGTTTAGGTCGAAGGCTCCGGGTGTGGCCTCTGAGAAAACCACGTGCTTCAGTCTGGGCACCTGGGTAGTATCACAGCCCTCACACAAATCGAATGAGATTTGTGAGGCACATATGTATCTGGTGCTTCTTTGTACCAATATTTATGGGTTTGAATAAATAAATACATGTGTCTATATTGTTTTAGCCAGTGTAGCCGTCAAAAATTTTATGTAAATATTATTCTGAAAAAAGGTTCATTATGCTGTGAAATTTAATTTTTGACTTCGTTTGTTTTTATTTAGGGGCCCAAGTGTTCTGGTCGTGGTGTGTGTGATTGTGGTCAATGCTTCTGTAACAGTGGTTATACTGGTCATTTATGTAATGAAATTCAAGGTGGTGAATCTGCTTTATGCACAGATCGTGATGTAGAAAAGTGTGTTCTATGCTTACGTGATTCATTGGTGAAAAGTTTTGATCTGGATGAAAAGTTGAAAAATGATGAGATGACGAAAACAGACAATGAATCAGAGGATGAATCATTAAAATTCAATCAAAGACAACCTATTTCAATGATTTATTCATCACAAGAGTATGCATTAGCTGCTACACAATGCGAATCTTCATGTAATGGAACTGTTGTAGATACTAGTCGAGTAAAACTAGTTGAAGCTAGTGAACAAAAGGATGATTCAAATCTTTGCATTATTTACACAGAAGACAATTGTCGAGTATTTTTCACCTATCGTTATTCTGATGCAATATATGTTAATCGTAAAGTAAGCAGTTTATGATGAATGTTCTCTTGTTTAGTAATATTTATGTTATATACAAGTGTTTGTATTAACTCTTCAGCCATAACAAACGACCAGAAAAATAAGTTGGTTAATAATGGTTTTGAAAATTCACCACCTTAGATTGCCCAATTACAAGATTGTTCATGTCGAATCACCAATACAATGTGTATTGATTAGGTTTTCTAAAGAAAACATTTTCAATCCAATTGTTTACAATTAGCTGCTTCTAGTCATTATAGAAGTTTATTTCAAACCTATGCATATATATTTTTCTAATGTGACCAAACCTATTTATTACATAATCGTTTAAAGTGTATTTCCAGTCAATAGCTAGAATTTTGTTTGTAATTATTTTTTATCATCCTATTAATGTTGAAAATTATAATTAACCAGTCTGTTTCGGCATATGTGCTAAGATAACTTACCTAGAATTGTACCACAAACAGTAATTAGTTTGTAGTCGATGTCATTTTATAGATCAAGACAGTCTTTTTGCGCTGATGAAAAAGTCATTAACTTCCATAAACATATTTCCAGACTAGAAATGTTAACTAAGATCTTGTTGGAAACTCTAAGCGATTGCCTCTATTAAAATAAATTATAGTACTGCATAAACATCATTATCTGACACACAATTGCTTGTTAAAGCTGGCGTAATTTACACACAGGACACGACCAAAAAAGACACAATGCTATTTTTTATTTGATTTCCCATTATATGTCCACATCTTAATTTTAAGATCCTAAGGCTTTTTTCAATGCACTATTCTAACTGATATCAATCTATGTTGTAACGAGATCTATACACTCAAACGCCCTGGTACGTCCGAGAGGGGGGGGACAGTCCGCTCTCCCTCTCGAAATGCTCTCACATGGCTACGCGTATATAGCCTCTGGCAAGGAGGTCCTACTCACAGCCTTCTCGTGGCAGGGGTGTTGTTTACGAAATTGAGAGCAGGACAAGCGAATGCCCGGCGCTTTAACCGGTCTGGGGGAAGTGGAGTGTCCACCTAGGGGAGTTGGAAAACCCTGATTCCAAACCAATGGTGCACATGGGCTGATTCCAGTATCCTGAGGGAACAAATGGCATATGAATGAATCGTTGGTTACCGGCTACCATGGAACTGCATCTCCTTATGATGCTCCACTGCCTTGTGGATCAGACGTTTAGGTCGAAGGCTCCGGGTGTGGCCTCTGAGAAAACCACGTGCTTCAGTCTGGGCACCTGGGTAGTATCACAGCCCTCACACAAATCGAATGAGATTTGTGAGGCGCATATGTATCTGGTGCTTCTTTGTACCAATATTTATGGGTTAAAAAAACGAGATCTATTGTGTATTCGTTGTCTTAAAAGCAAGATACCTTAGGTTAATTAGGTTCTGTCACAGTTTCTCAACGGTTCTTCAGTTAGTGCGTGCGTGTGTGGCTTAGTCTACCATGAGAGAATTTTCTTCAAAAAGAACAAATCTCCATAAACCACTTATATCTAAGTAAGTCATGATACCTTGAAAAAATATATATCGAACTATAAAATCATTTCTAATTTTTTTTCGAAAACATAGGTTGATTTAAATATTATCCGAAAAAGTGAATGTACAAAAACAATCAATATTCTCTACATTGTTCTCGGTGTCATTGCTGCCATTGTACTTGGTGGATTAATACTTTTATTAATTTATAAACTAGTCATTACAATTGATGATCGTCGTGAATTAGCTAATTTTAAACAACAAGGTGAAAATATGCGTTGGGAAATGGCTGAAAATCCTATTTTTGAATCACCAACAACTAATGTTCTAAATCCAACTTTTGAAGAAAACGGATATTGATCATATGTTGATAAGGCGCGCGGGGGGAGGGTATCAGCGGATTTGAAATAATTTTTTTCATTTCATGACAAATAAAAGTCGTGATATCCCCTGTTTTTTTCCTCTTTATTTCTGCATGTTTTATACGCATATACCTGAGCAGTCCTACCTAATATGATGTATATCTCTAAGCGCTTGTTATATAACTTTGTCCAAATAATATAACACATTTGAATATGATCATGTTTAATAGAGTAACAACACAAACAAACAAAACTCTTTGTGCCTTATTATTATTATTATTGTTTAAAACATAACAAGAAGACTCAACTGCACAGCTGTCAATATCTCTATTGCCTACCGATTAGCACCATAACTTTTCTGCTTTATATTATCTTTATTAGCTTTTTATTCTCATGAATTAATTCATTATTTATTCTTTTTTTAATAATACACCATACAGTATGTGTATGCATTTTTGTTTATTACCAGTTGTTGTTGTCGTGTTATTTTCTCTTCTCATTTTTATAAGATAAAAAGAAATGAACAAACTACTATTACTACTTTCATGTTGTAATTATAAACGCTTTTTTAAAAAAAAGAAGGGGCTAGGCTGAATATTTATTTGCCCAGAAACAAAAGTAATCTAAACCGTACATAGTTTCATGCTTTTTGGTTTTTATACGGTTTCATTTTATGTTTATGTTGTTATACAAATAAAGTACATATATATAATGTGTATTTATTTTATTGTATTTACTAGATAAATTGCTTTATTTTTTTATCAGAAGGGGTTTTTGTGGAGATTTCAGTATTTTCATAGTTGAAATCATGAGTCAATTGAGGCTAGACCATTAAGGAAAACCTGGAAGCATTGAAAGGTCGGTTCGTTAGACATGAACACCATCAGATGCCGGCTCAGTGGTCTATCAGTTAAGTGCTCTGTCGCGAGACTGGTAGGTCCTGGGTTCGAATCTCGCGAGGCGAGGTCGTAGATGCGCACTGCTGAGGAGTCCCATAATAGGACGAAACGACCGACCAGGGCTTCTAGGTTTTCCTTGGTGGTCTAGCTTCAATGGACTCGTGCTTTCAATTATGCTCTATATTTATTAATTAAAATATTATACGATTGTATGTATGCGTATATGTGTGTTTATGAGAATGATGTACATTTAAACAGTGCAAAAATAACAAGGTATAGAGAATAAAATGAATTCATCAGTCTATTTCACGGTTTTTCACCAGTTATAATAAGGTGCCACTGAAAAGAAGCTTCCTCGTTACTCGATTAGTTTTATTATATAATAAGATTTGTTCGTTATACCGTTTAAAGGTAGATCAATACTGTTCGGATGTCACCTCCAATTGCATCTATGAATTTACATGTACCTGAGGTAGCAAGTAAATAGAAAGGACAAAGAGAAGGGTCTCCACAAGGTTTTTTAAACACATTTCTAGAAATGTACGACTGGGAGTAAAGTTTTTACAAGTGCAATTGCTATACACCTTTTGGCTAGTGAACATGAGGTAAATGTAAGTAAAGCATTTAGCCTAATTAACAGACAAAAAACATCAGTTTTACTCCGTTTGGCAGAGGTAATCGCTTTCAGACGTTTTCGACCTCGTCTATTGTAACCCTGTTCCCAACTTTTTATTTTATCTTATATTCATCTCTTACATAATCATATTGATATCCATATATTTGTATATTTCATCATGTTCAGAGATTACCCAACCTCTAATTAATTTCATTACCTTTACATAATATTTATCTTCATAACGATTACTAGTAACTGTAACGCCTATTCTACCGTGCAAGAAAACTAAGCTTATTCATGCACTTTATATTCAATTTTTCTCATTGTGATTTCGGTTACGTTTCGAAAATTTATCTAGACGTTACTAACTAAAGTATTCTAAGCATTTGTTATTAAGTATATTCATATTTTTTAATAGTTGAAATCATGAGTCAATTGAAGCTAGACCACCATGGAGAACCTGGAAGCACTGGACATCTGTTTCGTCATATTGTGGGACTCCTCAGCAGTGCGCATCCACGATTCCGCACTCGCGAGATTTGAACCCAGGACCTACCAGTCTCGCGCCAGAGCACTTAACCGATAGACCAACTGAGCTGACAAGAAACAGTAAAATAGACTAATCAATTCATCTTATTTTACAAACTTTGTTCTGTTTAAATTTGTCAAAGGATATGGGTGTATGAAATTTTTGAAATTGGTAATTGTAATAATAATAATAATAGTTCACAACATCGTTATTATTTTAATTGAATCTATTAGTGACAAAGTTTTTATTTTGGTATCAATCTCCGAATAACTTAGCCTCTAAATACCAGTCAGTTTTTCCTTCAAAAGAAATTTAATCTGTCTAAATTCTAATGACATTGTAAAACTCCAATTAAAGAGTTATAATACTTGTTTCCACTTTTTTCCATTTAGTCAACCGTTAATCTAAAAATGTTTCAATAAAGACAGATAATTAGAATCTATTCTATTTCGAGTCTCGCGAGACGGGATCGTGGTTGCGCACTGCTGAGGAGTCCCACAATAGTACGAAACGGCCATCCAGTGCTTCCAGGTTTTCCATGGTGGTCTAGCTTCAACTGACTCATAATTTCAACTATATAATATTCTATTTTTAGTTATAATATATTCTCATTATTTGTCGTTACAATAAAACTCGAGCCATTTACTATTAAACATAGTATGAGATAGTATAGTAAAGTGATTGTCCATCTCTTTCTAAAACTTTCTCGCCAATTATGATAATTTTTTTCAAATTTCACCAATGTCATTGATTACTGTAATTTTGTAGAATGCATTCTTATCATGTATAATGGTTAGTATGACTTTTGTGATACATTATTGATTATCTCAAATACACTTTACATTCCAATCTAACTAGATCATGTATTTTGTTGTATAACTATGAAAAAAATAAGATATATTTGGAGTTGCATCTGAGTTATGCGTTACATTTTACCTTAACTATTTCATTGAGTAAGTTTATATCAGAGTAGCATTGAGCAAAATATCTAGTATTGTGTTGATATTTTGAACAATATTAAATACTTTAAACACTGTATAGAGTATTTAGTTTAATTTAGTGATTACTCAATTTGTTCTTTTTGTGTGGAACCATGTATTCTAACGTTAATCGAAGTCCCTATAAAGTGGAATAAGTAGCTAGTTTTTAAGATAATCTTTAAGATACACCTATTACTGTAAGCTATGCAGTCAGACAATTTAAACTGTGACTGGTTAACGAGAGAAGGATTACGTACCCACGAAACCATTATGGGTCGAACTCAGAACTTATGGACCTGTAAACAAATGCTTAACTTTCAAATCAGTGGGTTGAGATGTAATGGAATACATTTCTGACTTCAGTGAGATCTCCACGACCATCACATAATAATTCTTGAATTTTATGTTGTAAATGATTTTCTTCCAGTCCGTACTCGTAGTCAGTGCAACTCTATTTTTGATACTTGGTTCCTTGAGTAAATAATCGGATCATTGTATGTTGTTACTTGATTCAACTCATCCAATTTATAACGGCTTAATTGACTGTTTAAGGTGGTGACTTTTTACTATTTTCAAGACACTAAGTCAATGAATTTCTTTTTCTCAGTTAGTCTGGAATAGGGATCAGGAGAAAGTTTCGTAAATAATACCTGTTATGGCATAAAATTACACTACATATTTCCTGATTATTGTGTTTCAACGCTTTTATGTAGCTACGAATTAGAACAATAATTCTTGAGATTGTCGAATGTGAAATACTGAGCAATTCTTTAAAAGATGTAGCGAAGTATTGTAGCTGTAAATAATTCCCCAAAATCAATAGCTCATTAAGTGCTCCACATTGGATGCTGATCACATTGTTTTAAGTGGACTCGTTTAACTGAAGGCTTTCGGTCATGCATACGCACCAGATCACGTTACGACCCAGCGTGGGACATAGCTCCTACGTTCACTATGCAGATTAGAGTAAACGCTTCTCGATATATTGATAACGCATCAAATATATCTTTCCTACCTCTTCGCATCTGACTTCGGGTTTTATCTAATTGGGGAACGATTCGAATATAGAAGGTGTTACTGGTTGTTAGTTGCCCAACTAGAATACTGGTCGTATTTTCAGTATTAATATTTGAGGTTTATTCAATTTGCATCAGTTCGTAATAAGTAAAAGAAACAAGTTTCATTACAGCTGTTAAAGATCGCCACTTCCTATCATTTATTTATAATTTCATAGTTCTTAGACTTAGTTTTTTTCTTTTCATAAATTGTTTTATTGCTTCGGTTTATTATTTAACTAATGTTAATAATACTTAAGCCCCCGAAATGCCCTAGTACGGCCGAGAGTGGGGAGACTACGCTCTCACATAGCTACGCGTATATAGCCTCTGTCAGGGAAGTCCTACTCACTGCCCTCTCGTGGCAGGGGTGTTGTTCACGAAAGTGAGAGAACGAAAAGCGAATGTCCAGCGCTTTAACCGGGTTGGTGGATGTAGAGTGTCCACCTAGGGGAGTTGGAAAACCCTGATTCCAAGCCAATGGTGCACATGGGCTGACTCCAGTATCCTGAGGGAACAAATGGCGTATGAATGAATCGTTGGTCACCGGCTACCATGGAACTGCATCTCCTTACGATGCTCCACTGCCTTGTGGATCAGACGTTTAGGTCAAAGGCTCCGGGTGTGGCCCCTGAGAAAATCACGTGCTTCAGTCTGGGCACCTGGACAGTATCATAGCCCTCACACAATTCGAATGAGATTTTTGTGGCGCATATTTATCTGGTGCCTCTTTGTACCAATATTTATGTGTATAAATATATAAAAAATATGTAAAGTGTATTTGATATCTTTTGTATTATTTATAGATTCTTAAACATTGTACTCGCATTAATCAAACATTATCACTATGTTGTTATTACCAATGCACAAAGTATATTGGCAAAAACCAGATACGGGATTTCTCAACGGAATCATTAAAAAATGTCTTGTCAGATACAGTGATAAATAAGAATTGTACTGATGAAGAAATAAAATGTCTAGGAAAAAGTTCTGTATATCGTTTTGTACCATCTAAACCTATTTGGAAACGATTCGATGTTGGGGTACAGCATGAATTAGACGTGAATGATGTAAGTTGTAATGCTTGATGCAGGTTGTTGCTATATAATATAATACTGGTAACTATGTTTTAATAATGCATTTATGCTTCAGAATAGCATTAGATGACAGATAATATGTGCATGTATTGTAAAGTTACTTTGAAGAAGCGATATTTCGCTACAGCTCAACCGACGTTTCTGTCAAGTGGTTGTTAGATCGTTGTCTCATATCTACAGACTCGTAAGACCCCGTAAAATATGCATCTGCTTATAGTCTCCTGGTATTTTTATTTCTTAGCTATCAGCCAATAAGTATTTTGTAATTGAGTCATGTACCAGTAGTCCAGCTAAGATTCACTTTTAAATAGACATCTTCGAATATCGCATATATCGCTTTTGACTGGTTTTAGATATCTAGGCAAATGAGTCCAAAGAAAAGAACGACGTAGCAATAAACATTTGAGGTCACTCGTTTTGGAGCAACAATCTAGACACAAGAATACTAATAAATATTAGATTCAGTTAGTGTTTGTATAAAACAACATGAAACAAATTTTCCCAACCAAGCACAAATTGCAAATTTAAGGTCATGATGTAAGTCTTGGTACATGATTTTCTTGATGTGGCACGGACGTTTGTATGATAAGCTAAGTTTATGAGCATGATTGTAATAATTATTTCTCCTGGAAGATATGAGACTGTTTCATTGACCACTATCATGTTTGTCCAGGTGTTTGTCAGTTATCAAATTCGATATATATATCAGCGATTGAAATTTAAATGATTCCAATGTTTCGTCCAGCAAACTTGTCTAGACTTCTTCAGAGTAATAATCAAAATAGAAATTAGCAGAATATATAGTGGTTAACAATCAAATTAATACTCAATGTTTATCCAGTCATGTCTAGATGTTGACTTTAGTAAACAGGATATGAGTCAGTAAGATGTGACAACAAAAGCGCTGTATATATCCGTTAGTCAGAACAGCGTGAACAGAAAGGATGGTATTCAACAAGTCATCTTTTCGCAAATGATAGCCAACGAGTAGTTGAACCCTATCTCTATCCAACTTATTAATTTCATACGTAGTGCTGTTCTGACAAATTTATTTGGATATTTCAGCAATACAATTATGTATCTGATGATTCTCATTTTGCATACACATAGACGTTTCAAAAATATTTCCGATTTGAACTTTTATTTTTACGTTTAATCAACAAATTGATACCGAATATCAAAATTTAATATTATAAACTTACGCATATATACACATATCCGTTTATTCATTTATTTTCACATGTTATCCGGCTTACTGAAATCAACATCTGAATGTGATTGGATAAACACCAAGTGTAGATTCCATTGTTAAACATTATACATTCTTTGATGATTTTGATCATTAGTCTAAAGATGTCCAGACAAGTTTAGTGGAGGAAACTTTGGAATTATTTGAATTTCAATGGCTGAGATTATTCCATATATAAATACCCTAGTACGACCGAGAGTGAGGAGTCCGTCTTCCCTCTAGAAATGCTCTCACATGGTGACGCGTATGCAGCCACTAACAGGGAAGTCCTACCCACTGCCTACTCACAAGATTACTGTTGTATACGGAATTGTGAGGACGAAAAGTGAATGTCCGGCGCTTTAACTAGATTGGTGGACATAGAGGGTCCACCTAGGGAAGTTGGAAAACCCTGATTCCAAACCAATAGTGCACATCTTGGAATGATAAATATACTTTGCCAATAAATTAGAATTCGTACATTTGCAACTAGTTAACTAGATATTCAAATACTTTTCGAAATTTATTTCATTAGATATCTGAAACAAAGGATTGTGCATCACCTGATAACCAGGATATATTTTGCATTGATCACAGTGCTCTTCCAAAACGAACACATTTGGATATGAATGTAGTTAAACTACTTGAACAGGTGTCGCTAATTAATTTCAAAGAAGTGAGTTTTCTTGGTATGGTTTAGTTTATATCATCTGGAAGTATTAGTCTTGTGGATAGTTCTTGAAGCACTGTATTTTTCTGATATACCAACTATGATTACCTTAAATCAAATTGCTTTTCGTTACATGTTAACTTCAACTGGAGGAGTGTGTCATAACGTTGGGTTGACTAAATTAAGTGAACTCCAACCGTTTGATCGTGGAACAGATATCAACAATCATAATGTATACAAACAAATGTAGAGTGGGAGCAGGTGAATTATCTAAATGAAGTCGTTTACAATGTAAAAGTTCGTTATACATGCGACTTATGGGGTGCCTATCTGCAGTCAATAATTAACCACGAATCACTTACCACCGGATATGTTATATCGTAGTGAAGATTAAACTACGGGTAACTTTTGAGAATTATTAATGAACTAATATTATATATATATTCTTTTTGTATAACTGTCCAGTAACTAGATTGAATAAATCTATATTCCTCTTATTACAAGCTTCATTTCAACCTATTGATTATTATACGACCTACTGTTCTTAAGTTGTTTTTTTATTTTATTTAAACACATACATATTGGTACAAAAGGGCACCAGATACATATGCGCCACACAAAATAATGAAAGTAGCAAGAGAAGGGATGAAAAGATAAGGCGGACTGAAATGTACAACCAGAAGACTCTTTCAGTTAGGAAAGTTAGAACCATTCTTTATGTAGAAAGTAAAAGAAGGTTGCAGCAGGATCGCCACTGGCTTCTATTCTGAGCCATATCTGATAACGTCTCTAGCCACTGTGTTGCACCATCTCTCGGACCCCAACCAAGGAGTCGTGAAGGACCAACAGAAGCTAGCCCTTTGCAGCTCTCTTTCATGCCACGACACCATGTCATACACTGACCTCCTCTCCGCTTTTTCCAACCAGTCCCAGGGTCGGCAAATAATGCACGACGTGGAAGTCTCTGGGACGACATTCGTAAAACATGTCCAAGCCACCGAAGTCGGTGTTTCAAGATGGTGACACCAATCGAATTATCGTCTCTGCGCCCGAACACACGATGCCGAACCTCTGCATTACTAACATGGTGTTGCCACTGTATGTCAGCAATCCTTCGGAGACAACGATGATCGAACACAGAGAGACGTCTAACATCCTCAACTCGGAGAGGCCAGGTTTCACAAGCATAGAGCAAAACTGCTCTCACCGACGCGTTGTAGATCCGACCTTTTACAGCCAGACTAACATCACGAAGGCGCCAAAGATGGCCCAGATTGGCATAAGCCACTCTGGCTTTCATTATACGTGCATCAATCTCATCACTCACATCACCACCAGCACTTATATAGCTACCTAGATACACGAACTTCTCAACTACTTCAATCTGCTCACCATCCAGGGTGAGTACAGGATGAGAATCCTGCCAGTCTTGTAGGAGTACTTTGCACTTGGAGGGTGCAAAGCACATGTCGTACCTGAGGACACTGATTGCCAACTGATTAAGTGCTGATTGCATGCCTTGGGCATTATCGCACAGTAAGACAATATCATCCGCATACTCGAGGTCGAGAAGTCGTTCTCCAGGCAACATATCCACACCGCCACTACTTGCATCCACCAGAGCGGTTTCTAGGATGTCGTCGATGGCAAAGTTGAAGAGGAATGGTGAGATCGGGCAACCCTGCCTAACCCCACTGCTCGAATGGAACAAGGGAGAAAGGTGGTTGTATGCCCTCACTCTGCCTGAGGTGTTCGTATACAGGGCCTTTAAGATGTTAATGAACTTCTTAGGCACACCCTTCTTCAATAGACAATCCCAGAGAACAGTCCTCGGTCCTTACGCAAGCTTTGCCCGATTTCACTACGTAACAGCCTTCGTTTGTGGTCAAACTCATGGTCACCCGGAGTAGACCGACGGACTTCCATCAATTGTAAGGAGCCAGAAGAAACCCAGTGCTTGTAAGTGGGACATTTCGCGAAGCCGCAAGCGGCTCTACTCGCCATTTTCATGGTGTCGTGAAGATGCAACCAATGCCCATCTATACTTTTCGGTGGGATGGTAGCTAGCCTAGAGGCTAGCTCCGCTCGACACTTACTTGCAACAGATGTTGCAGCCAGTTTACTAACATCGATCCGTTGATGGCGGTCAATCCTTCTGCCACTGAAAAGTAAGGTGAGATTGGCGCAGACCAGGGCATGATCAGACTCCAGATAGGTACTCCAAAAGGAGCGGCAGTCTTGTACACAACCACGCCAGCGGTGGCTGATCGCGATGTGATCAATCTGAGTCCAGGCTTGAGATGCAGAGGGAGGACGCCAGGTGGCACACCGGCGATGACTGTGCCGGAAGTTAGTGCTGGCCAGAAACAGGTTGTGGTCTGTGCACAGCTGCAGCAAACGGTCCCCGTTATCTGTCCTGCAACCAACAAATCCTCATCGGCCACCGAAACGACTCTCTTCTGTGCCTAGACGCCCGACCTGTGCATTCACTCTCCGGCTAATACTACAATATCTGTCGAACGCGCTTTCTGGAGAAGAACTGTTAACTGATGGTAAAACTCATCCTTGATTGCATCCGGACTGCAATCTGTCGGGGCATAGGCGGAGATGACGAAAAGACACCGTTTCTCACGCCGGTTTCTTCTCACTTTGATGGAACTTTCTAATCTAACAGCACATAACCGACTGTTAATGGGGATCCAATCGATTAGTGCTGCCTCAGCTCTAGCGCTTAGTGCAACACCAACGCCAGCAAGACCGGACGAAGATGCCACAGAGTCCCCGGATAAGCGCACGTGAAACAAGCTTTACGAGGCGACAGATGGAGAGTGAATTTGTAGTACTTCACTAGAGTCTTGAATACGGGTCTCGGATAGACAGCAAACATCAACATTGAGACATTCTAAAGACATAGCCAGCCCCATCTGTTGTCTGATCTGCATTAGTGTGCGAACGTTGAAGGAAACCAGCTTGAACGGCGTACGTGGTTTCAGAAAGACTGCCTGAGTATTCGTAATCGGTGGAAGCATTCACTTTCAACCAGACAGTGACTGGAGATCGTTTAGATAGGACAGAGTTTCCACCATGGGCGAACTGCTGCATAGGTTGGAAAGGAAGGATACACAATTTGGGAATAAAGGGAGTGAAAAAGCGACGTAGTAAATAATGGTAATAATAATAATGCAAATTGTCTTCTATTAGGAACGAGAGCAGTGTAGTTAGTGTAGTGCGTCATTTCATGTCATTTGTGTGTGGGCTAAGATACTGCCCGGGTGCCCAAACCGATGTTCAGTTTATTGATTAAGGTCTCCCACGTTCACAGCCCTATTTTGACTTGAACTTGTATAAATGTTTATGGGATATTACCTCTAAATCAAGGTCTGAAAAGTCGGAAAAATGAAAATTTCGCAAATGCGGTAGAAATGATCTTGGTGGTCTTGTAATGGTATTCCGATACGAGACAATGGGTTTTAAACGTTCTTTATGCCCTAACGCTTCAGGCTGGGCTATTTCGTTTACTATCCTACATATGTGTTGTATGCAGTATAAACTACACCTATATTACCTTTAATTTTGGTAACAAAAACATCTTAATCATCTGACTGCCTTTGTAATTCGTTACTAACTTATTAAGTCTATTTTTTGTTATTCATATTACGCAATCTTTCGATTGGATCATCGTGGTTATTCCCCGTTCATATGTCCTCACGGAACTTGTATATATGTATATGAATTTAATAGTACTTGAAAGAGTTTTGTTGTTTTATAAAACCTGTTTCCTCTTCTGTTTATTTAGGAAAATTTGAGAATTCTTGAGGAAGCTATACGCTATGCTGATTCATTGCTAACGAAAGAAGCTTTTCATGGAACAACTAATAATCAGTGTTGGAGTATAGATAATACAGAACCGATGATTAGTTTATGTGATGAAATTAATGTTGGTTTCAATTGGTTTCTAGATGATGACAATCGTGATAATCACATTGTATATAATTGTAACCTAGCTACTGACATTATGCAACAAGTACCTGATAAATGGGAAGGTTATATTGTTGCTCCATTGGGTAATATTCCAGTAGAGCAAAATGAATCTAGTCAAGTTCAAGGAGTGACGGTGTAGTTACCCGACCAATAAAGCCAAAATACTCATAGTTCTGATGAAAATAGCAGAAACAAAAACAAATGTACATGTATTATCACAATGTCTACCATAATAAAAATCGAAATGAGTGATAATGTGATCTCTTTTTCATGACTTCACGTTAATCGTAACGATTAACGCGTGTATCCTAGGCATTATTGAAGCATTTGATACATGATACTGACGTCAATTTAGTCCTGAATACTGACAACAAATGAATACGAATTCTTAAAAATACCTTTATTTCCATTAAACAAGTTAATAGCTATCTGCGCTTTGTAGCTTAATAGATAACGTCTTGGTGCCTAAGGCGACCGGTTTCGCGTTTTCGTCTGAATATTCGGCCGAGGAGCCCTAGATAGGATGAAACACACTTGGCACGATCCGAATGTCTTATCAATAACACTTGAAAATTCACTGTAATACAAGTAATGCCTTCTTGCGTCTTAATGAAAAGTTGCGTGGTATTGAATCTACTTATAATTTTGATGATGAAAACAAGTATGCTACTGAATTTCTTCCAGTTTACGAACAGTTCAGGCCAGGTGGAAATGTTAAATGAATAACATTAGATAGGTGATGCACTTATAGATTAAATAATTTGTAGATTTATTATAAACATTGAAAGCATAAACCCTTTGTTTTTACAGATGGTCAATAATATCCAAAAAAGTACCATCGTTTTGTTCTACCAATCGATTTGTTGGTACTGAACAATGGGTTATAACACTACTACTTACTGGTGAATTAGCTATTTTCATTTATTGAGTTCATTTGATCACCTCTGTAAGTGTAATTTTATATAGGTTTATGTATTAATTTATTGACCACAGCTAGTATTGGATAGATTGTCAATTGTTTAAGCTGATTAAACTTAAGTTTTACCTTACCAGTCACTCGAAACCTCCGGAAGGAATATATGTGAGCATTGTTAAAAGCGATATTGATGTTTTATTTATTCCACATAAACTCTGGTACAATTAGGCACCAAAAACTAACCCAGATAAATAAAACGATATTATCAAGAAAAGAATGGTGTGACGAATGATGAAATGAACAGAAAAAGCTTTTATGATATATAGCTTAGTTAAAAATACAGCCAAAAAAGGCTTTACTCAGTTAAAAAAGTTCATCTCACTATCATAAAGGCAGTATCAGAAAATTACAGCCACAGACTTCTATTTTGAGTCATATATGATCATGGTTGAAGTCACTGAGCTCCATGATCTTTACGATTATGGTATTTGCCTTACTAACTGTCGTATTATCATCTACCGAATCTCTTCGTAATAGAGATCATAAATAGTCCAAAACTAGAACCTCATGTATGACCGAAAATTCACTTAACAAAACTCTCAAGTCTACCAGTTGTCTTTTACGCTATTTTTCAGAAGCCGGCTAAGCACTTATTCGGGCATTAATGACATTTTAATTCTAAAACCCCTTAGCAAAGTATCTTATGTACTGTAAAAGTACAGGTGATATGTTTCACAAAACCGGCGAGACTAAAGAACATGGACGAGCCAATCAGAAGCTTTCGCGGGTTTTCAAGGTCACAGCGCTAAGTTCGGCACCTGACGCTTACGTACGGTCAGTTTACAAAGGATTTTAGAGAAAACATGATAATTAAGCGACTACAAGATATGTTACCATTAGGTTTTGGCGCAAAATTCAATTATATATTTGGATTGAGTTGTGGCATTATAGCTGATGTCAGTTCGTGATGAAAACCCTACGTAAAATTCATAACCTTAACCATGAACTGTAAATCATAATTTGAATTCTTCACACGGGTTTATAACCCTCATTTAGTCTTAGTTATTATGTTGACACTCTCAGATTCACTCTAGCGTCGCTCAAATGTCGTCCATTATTTATAGTCTCATCTTTAACCCTAATCCTAAACCCTAAACCATAACAACATACCGACAACACTGAAACTATGTGGTTGAGGCTGAAAGAATTTTCGGGACTTTATCATGGTTCCAGATGTCGACTAATATGGAGCCTCAGGGATGAGTTCCTGTGCCGGATGCACTATGATTTTAGAACTTCTGAACCTATATCTGACCTTGATAAGTTTTTGATACATGTAAAAGAACAGTATCCCCTTTAATTTTTGAGTTTTGTATAATATATTTTTATTGTATGCTAACTGTCTTCTGATTGGCCAATATTTCTCAAGGTCATTTAAGATTCGTTCAAAGGTCGTCCATGTTCTTTAGTCTCGCCACAAAACCTCACCTCTGGCACATACTTTGCCCCTAAATGCCCTGATACGGCCGAGAGTGGGGAGAGTTTGCTCTCACTCTTGAAATGCTCACACGGCCACGCGTATATAGCCTCTGTCAGGGAAGTCCTACTCACTGCCTTCTCGTGATGGGGGTGTTGTTTACGAAATTAAGAGGACGAAAAGTGAATGCCTGGCGCTTTAACCGGGTTGGTGGATGTAGTGTCCACCTAGGGGAGTTGGAAAACCCTGATTCTAAACCAATGGTGCACATGGGCTCCAGTATCCTGAGGGAACAAATGGCCGTTGGTCGTGACCATCTCAAGTGCATTCCTCTCTAACGAATAAACGTAAAGTACAGTTCTGGCCAATAAATTGACTGCAATTCTGATATCAGGAATGCGATACGTGTGACGATATTCAATCGTTTTGAGAAAGGGTGAGATATGATGACCTGAACAAAATCTACGCCCTTTCCCAAAATAGGCTTGACAATAACTCCCTTCTTTAGTTAAAAAAGACTTCCAGTATGGCATGACATCCTAAGCAATTCAATTCATTCCAAGCCTAGGATACGGCCCCCATTCTAGAAATAAATCAGAGGTGGGTTAGGTTATGGATGACTTTTGAGACACTTTAGCACCTGAGAGTTATTGTAAAAGATATGACAATATGGTCGAAAATTATGAGGTAGTGTGCCTGTTAAATTGTCTTCTGAAAAATTCGACTAAATGTTTTAAACAACTTTGCAAATTATTAGCAGGCGATTTTATTAAAATTACTCATTATTGGTGAATTTTTTAACGATAAACATGTAGTTCCAGAGAAAAAGTATAAGGGTTGAAATTGAGCATCGATTGGTTGACGGAATCATCTATACACTAAGTTTTAAAGTCTGTTAATAATCTGGAGGTAAACCTAAAATTAATAGTCCGTAATAACCAAGATTACTACTCACCAATTCGATGACGCGCATTTTTTCTGCGTCTTTCAGCTTCTCGAAGTTGTACTTTTTCAAAAGAATCCTTGGTACTTTTGCTGCCTTTCTCACAGTCTCCATTAGACTGAGTATCAATGAAGCTTTTAAACTCCATCAAGTCTTGCAATCCAAGCTCTATGCGAGTGAGTGGACGTCTCTGCATTAATGGAGGATTTTAGATGTGACTGAAAAAGAAGTCGAAGTTATGATGTAATTTACTCAGTACCATTAACCACACAAAAATAAACCTGAACCGGAAAGTGTTTTAGGAACAAATAAGCAGGTGAAAAATGACATGAGAAACATGATATTAGAAATTACTGGAAGGATGGAGTGATGAATTAACACGCACAAAATAAAAATCCGTTATTTAGACCGAAAAGTGTACACACTTATACCAACAGCACAGACTACCATTCAAACCATAAATTTTTGCATGACATTCTTCAACTAAAGAAAGAATGCAAACATACTTTCAATAAGCAATCAGTGACTTCATGGAATAATGGTTTAGATTTTGTTTAGTCACCTCGAGTTTTCGATTAATTATAAATGATCAAACATTGAAATGACATCTTCAAATCTCCTGTTTTAATCCATGCATTTGAAAGTTCATGTAAATTGTTGACCATTAACTACATGAATAATGTGAGTGATTCCCTAGGCCCACTTGGGTTTCAGAAACATTTGCGTACATCGATGCAAGAAACCATTAACCCTCATTCATTGACATAGTTGGGATGTGTCGAAAATACTGATCTACCAATAACTTTGCTTTATTATGTCTCTGAAAGCATTAAAAGTGAATATTAAGGTTTAGACCCCAACATAACCCCGAACCAAGAATTTTCATGCAATCAAGTGTTTCGATTTGTTATAATCATGGTTATATGCCTAGGTGACTGAGGTCAGTCAGTCAGAACGTAGGTCCGTGCACATACATGTTAACTCAAGTTGCCATATTACATAGACACAGTGAGTTGAGAATAGTGTGATGGCAAACAGGAATCGAAATAATTATAATAGCAGCGATAGTGACATGATTGCAAACTGAATAAAAGTAAAACTACTACTGTCCTCTTAGTTTCAAGCATATTGACTCATAACCCAAGTGGTTATTGTTTTTTCGTTACATTATGAACATAAGTGAATAAATTGTTCATTGGAGAAAGTGACATGGATAATGGACATAACAGTAAATAAAATAGTGTTCGGGAATTTCGCTTAACGAATGAAAGCATCACATACGATTTTATCTACACGCACCTAAAAGTAATACTGATAATGTTTAGGATAAAAAAACTTTCTACGAACATGTGAAGAGATGAAGTTTCGGGGTCAACAGGTCTCGTTTATTTGGGAACATTTTGCTTCAGAAACAATAGGCCCGGGTTTTCGACAGAAAACTCCCCTTGCAATATGATTTTAATAACACGGAATTTAAGTGTCTAACTATGTACTAAGTGTAAACATTGTCTGTACGTAGAATATTTATTACAAACGAATAAAAACTTAGAGATTTTTGTCTAATGAAAAATACTAAAAATGAGAGTCGCAACATCAAGCAAACTGAGACTAACAAACAAACTGGAGAATTACGGAAAGGGTTTACTGTTTAATGTATCATGTATGATATCATATTTTATGCATTGCATTTGCAGCATTTATCTCGCTCGCATTACTTTAACTATGGAAACTGTAATTTTAAATGACTTATTCTTCTTACATTGTGCTTTTATTGACTTTTCTTATAGACACAGTTAATAGATT